TTTTTCATACAAATAACCGTAAACCTACTTTTGCCAACCCCTGTATAGCACTAGGAAAGGGGTTCTCATCAACAAGTGGGTCATTTCCTACATTTCTGTGTTTTCCAAATTTATAGCGGCAGTTACTCAACATTTGACAAACTGGATAACCTTTGACTCTTTGCTCTGGATGATTTGGTTATTAACTTGCCCAAGATCAAATTTGAAGACCTGTAAACTAGACGATGAACATAGTTATAAAGATACAGGTACTTATTATTTCGGGTTTAAGAAAAATTGCTAAAAATTATTTTCTCTTTTTTTTTAGAGAGGACATTAGTCTTAGCTTTGTAAAATTAATGAGTGGCCTTGAAATTTTGGTTTGTTAATTTATTAATAAAACATTTATTCCAGTGAGCCTACCTGTTAGTGCCCTAAGTCTTATACAGATGGTCTCAGTGTTGAAGAATTACTGTCTCTGCTAGAGCTTCCGAAGCAGTGAGGCATATACACACTCCGTGACCAAGCGGATACCAAACCTCAGTTTTCTATTAGACCTGTAGTTCTTGTCCTGGTTGCCCTTAATGATACATATGAGCAATGAGTATACATTCATATTTGTGCCTGTGAAGCCATTGGTGATAGATTAAGTGTATAGTACTTAATATCCACATTTTGAAGATTAAAAAACACAAAGAACAAAACCAAAGCTCCAGTCACTGAAATCAATCACTGAACTACCATGATCCAGGCCCCTGGTCCAGGGCCTTTGGCTTCCAGTTTACCTGTCTCTACTCCTCCTAATCGAGTAACAGATATGCCACGAGGAAGGGACACTTGGATAATTATAATACTTCATCTAGTAAAGGACCACGATGACTTTCTAGAGTTTTACTAGTGAAATTTTAAATACATGAAGAGGATAGCTTGTTGCCTCTGATGAAATGCTACGTTCACATAACAAATGATAAATTTAGAAGAGAAACTTTTTCTATTCCAGCAAATATGTGCTGCTTCTGACTCCATAATCTCATTTCAAGGAATTTGTCATTACAAATATACTTTAAAATTTATGCAAATATTTATGTGCAAGATATTTATTATTGCTATTATCTATAAAAGTGAAAACAACAACAACAAACAACCCCTAGAGAAAGTCCTAAATATCCCATCAGCGGGAAGCAGTATAACATACTGGTTAAGAATTGCCTGGATTCAAATCCCATCTCCACAACTCTGTGATTATGGACAAATTATCTCACTGCGTTTTCAGTTTATCCATCTGTAAAGTGGGTAACAGGGTCTAGTAACCTGGTCTCTTTCACTGGCTTGTGATAATATTTAGAACAGTTCTAATCCACAGTTCATGCTCCGTACATTTTAGTTAGTATTTTTAAGGGGGACTGGGATACATTTTGGTGGAGGCATACAAAGGAATAGTAGGCAACCATTTTAAGGAGTGCTCTATGTCCTCCGCTTAACTGGCAGGTCGTCTATGCCACCTGTTTGTCTCCCTGCAACGCCCAAGAAAAAAATTAGCTAGAGAGGGACTAAATTTAAATTTGGTGTATATGACTATATATTGAAGAACAAAGAGCAAATTTTTGGAGTTCCCGTGGAAAAAGACATTTGGAGTTTTGGGGGAAGGAAGGCAACAGGCTTTGGAACATGGACTATGAGCAGAGAGGAGTAGCCAACACTTTTGAAATCTTAGTTTGGTGAGTGGGTTCAGGGGAGAAAAGGGACCAGGGGAAAATGATGGGCCCTAAAGGAAATTGAAATCTGGCTTTTCTTTGGTCACTAAATGCACACACGTGCCTTACTACACCAGAAACTGGAGCAGAGACTGTCATTTCTCAACCGTTCACTGTGTGCAGTCAGTCACCATGAGTCGGAGCCCGAGTCAGCCCTGCTCTGAGAGGGAGATGCTCACAGGGGAAGCGGAATGGCCTTTTCCTGGGCAGCAGGGCCAATTTAGGAAAATTCCTTGCCCAGTGCCCTAATCAGCAGCTTGGTGCCTGGGAAAAATTAACTGTTATTCCCAGGGGTGAGCAGTTAGTTGACTTGCTCTACTCAGCCCTGAGGATCAGGCCTAATGCGAGTCAACATAAGAATGTTCAAATTTAAGAGCATGTTGGCACTGCCCAGGGAGTAAAACAGTAAGCCCAGTGCTGGCCTGGCAGCTTCAATTACAAAGCATTAAGAATAACATCAGGTTGCTGTATTAAAAGCGTAAAAGCTCTGAACAGTCTGTTTGGTGGCTCACTTACCAGAAAGTTTTCCGCCCCACATAGGGTGTTTTTCATTGTCCTTCTGAAAAATTGCTTTTTTTGCACAGAAACTTAATGAATTAAACCATAAAACATGAACAGAACCAATTCCAATCAAAAAGATCACAGTGGAATAAGATGTAGACTCTCAGGATTCAAATATATTATTAGAAATTATTATTGTGCCCTGGCTGATGTGGCTCAATGGATTGAATGCTGGCCTGCGAACCAAAGGATCCCTGTTTTGATTCCCAGTCAGGGCACATGTCTGGGTTGTGGGCCAGGTCCTTAGTGGTGGATGCTCGAGGGGCAACCACACTTGATGTTTCTCTCCCTCTCTTTCTCTCTCCCTTCCCCTCTGCCTAAAACTAACTAAATAAAATCTTTAAAAATTTTTTTAAAAAAGAAATGATTAGGTATCTCTTTTTTGGCAATCAATGGATTTCTACGGGGTACAACACTTTTCTAAAATCACTCCCTTTCAAGTCATTTGTCCTCATATTCCTTATTTGGGTGAGAATCGTTCCAGTTTTACCAGAGGGTAATGTATTTTACGTACTAAGTCACAGTGAAGAAAAGGTGCATAATATATGAGATGACAAGGACAAATTTGAACCTTTTGAAAATGCGCCTTATATGTAAGTGGGATGATGTGAAAGGAAAATAATGGGTAAGAACATTAGAGGCCAACCCCTGGAGATACAAAGTGGAAGGAGCAAGGAACACATCCCATGTCTTAGGGAGCAAAAGGTCTGAAGAGAGATGGACACACACAGGTGGCTAGTAAAGTGCGGGATAAACAAGGAGAGGTCATAGGCCAGCGTGTGGACACACAGAGGAGTTCCAGTGTAGTGATCCTAGTTTCCCAAGGGAATGCTCTACTGCCCAGGGATATACCTCATTCCCTCCAGGTTTGCAAGTACAAAACCAGTCCCATTCCATGCAGGGGTGTGGCTGTTTAGTTCCTGCTACTAAGCAAACAGTGGATATCTGCTTTACGCTCTATGGCAATTGTAGTGTGGGTTGTGGGAACTACAGGAAAGTATATATTCCACTGTTTAACTTTATACCTTCAGTGCTACAACTCAGATAAAAACCAGGTTGCTACCAGTCTTAAAAGAAAAAAAAAACAGGCAAAAAAAAGTTGGCCTTTATTTTTGGCAGGGGAAATTGAAATTAATGACATTTAGTCCAATTAATGACATTTTATATCCAACTCTATATTGGATACAAAAGCAATAGAGTTGGGTTATGTGGTAAGTAATTACGCTTTACAGCTCCTTTTAGACTTGCAGTGTTATCCCAGGATTTCCCAGCAGCGAAACAGACGCTTCTGTTCTAGAACAATGGGCCTAGGTCACCCTACCCCGAGGAACATGAGGAAATTCCCAAAGTCTTGGAAGAGTTTAAAGATCTCAGTCGGTTCAGTTCCCGTCCTGGTTTGATCTTGTGACTTACCACTTTCTGTTTTTAATTCAGAAAGTAATTTATATTAGTAATGTACAGTACATCATCTGTCTGGCAGGGAGTTCCTTGTCCCATGAGGAATGCGGTAAATCCTGTAACGTGGCGGTGGAACACTGGGCTCCACCACTGTGCTCCAACTGTGATACTAAATAATACTGTTCCATGAGGGAGACTACGTCATCTAGACCTGGCACTTACCCACCCACAGCAACCCAGGCTGGATAATCTAAAAGTAACCTAATAAAGACTAATTTCCTCCTGTAAATAGCCTTGATGCCATTTCAGTTATATGTGCCAAGGTTCTTGAGCTATATTTAGAAGTTTAAAGGCCTCATCTCTGCCTCCTATATGAAAGGGGACTTACCAACTCTATATTGGATACAAAAGCAATAGAGTTGGGTTATGTGATAAGTAATCAGAAAATATTTATAGATTAATTGGTATATTATAGAAACTTCATTTTAGTTATGGCCTCTTTTTCTCTATCTCCCTCTTCATTACTGTTGTACGTATCAGGGCCTATGGCAGGAACTAATTGTCCCTCCTGTCTGCCTTTGGGGGGTTCATTCTTTGACCCACCTCCCATCAAAAGGTAGGATGTATGTTTCCTCCCCTTGAACTATGGGTGATCTCTGAGACTGGCTTGACCAATGACGTTCAGAGGTAGTGATGCTATGTAAATTCTGAGGTTAAATCATAAAAAGCCTTTTAGCTTCCTCCTTGGTCTGTAGGAATGCTGTTACTCTTGGAGCCCTGAACCACCCTTCAAATACAACTATCCTGAGACTGTCATGCTGAATAGACCACAAATAGAAGCTCTGGAGGATAATCCCATCTGAACATGTCTTCCCAACATTCCAGCCCAGGAACCAAATGTGTGAGTGAGGAAGCTAGCAGGGGACTGAGTCCTCCCACCAGAGCTGCTCCAGTCCTCTTAGTTATCCCCAAATATCTCCACTGTGTTCTTCCTGTATTTTGGACCCATGATATCTTAGTGTTTTATACCACTAAGTTTGGGGGTGGTTTGTTACACAGCAGGAACTAACTCAAACACATTCTCTTAGAATCTGTGTGGCTTAGTTAGGTAGATGGCTGGCTCGTTAAAGGCTGTAATTCCCACCCCCCTCTCTTGCAGCGAACTGTGGCTGGGAAGTCTTGCTTATGGGATGTGAGTGGAAATAATGCAATTTCCAAGTCATGTCAATGTAACATTATGTGCTGGTTGTACACTTCCTCTCCCTCACCCCCTTCTTGGTGGCTGAGACATTGATAATTGGAGCAGCTACCTCGGATCCATAGACACTGCAGTTGGCTGTCACAGATTAGAGTTCCCAGGTAACAGACTCAGCAGAGTTTAAAGTTCAGAATATTTATTAAGGAGTTCCCCAGGGGTCACTACCTAAAAGGAGGGGAAGGAAGCAGGAATGGGCAGAGGGGAAAGTTGGGCTGCAATGCACTCAGTGACAGCCTCAGAATGGTCCCCCATTAAGTCTAGATGGCCTGAATACTTGGACATGGACTAGTCATCGGATGTGGGCAGCCGTCATGTACTTTTGTTAGGTTATAATCACAACATATTAGTTACCTCTTATTGCAGAACAAAATAACCCAAAACTTAGCGACTAAAATCAACATTTATCATGTTAGTTTCTGTGTGTAAGGAATTCAGAAATGTATGAGGTTGCAGTTAAGCTGTGGGCTGAGGCTTCAGTCATCTCAGTTCAATTGAGGCCAAAGGTCTCAGTTCACTCCCATGTTGCTGGTAGGTCTCTCCTTACGACACGGGCCATTCTCCATGGGCCACCAGGTGGTGGTCTGAAAGGGAACAAATCAGAGAGCCTGGGGACTGAAGCCACAGTCTTTTAAAACCGTATCTCAGCAGGTACATCCCTACATGAAATCAAAAGGCCAGCCCCAATCAAGAAGAGGGGATGCATAAGGGTGGGATTCCAGCCAGCAGGCTTAGAGGTGCCTACCATGTATAGTAAGCACACAATTTTGTATCTTGCTATTTTTAAGTTTTTATCAACTTAAATGTTTTGTTTTGCAATATGTTCATTTAAACAATGTCTTTTTTTAAATTAGAAAAGCAAGATAGTCTTGTAAAAACTTTCAAATGATACAGATGTAAATCCTTTTCTTTATGTAGTTCCTCATACTAGTTGAAAAACCCAGAGGTGCCCACAATTAAGGTTTTTTAATCTGCTAACAGTCTATATTTACATAAACATATCTGTTGATACAGATAAATATTATTGTATATTTAATGTTCTTAATGTATCTTAAAGTTCTTTCCATCTCACAGTGTAGAGACCTGGAACGTTCTTTTAAACATCTACAGATGAAATAAGCATATTTTACTTCATGATTATGCTAAAAATGTTAAGCAGTCCCCTATTGATAGACATTTAAATTTTTATTTATCTGACAAAAGATGCAAATGTGCATTCTTACCCATATGTCTTTGCAAATTCATGCTGGTGTATCTTGAGGATAAATTCCTGGGATATAGAATTGCTGGGTCTAAAAAAATGCACAAATACTAAATTAAATAAACAACTACACCTAACAAAAAAAAAAAACGTTTTTGTGGGATAATGTAGTATATGAATAGATCTGTTTCCCTAGAGAATGGCTGAGTATTAGTAAATTTAAATTTTGTCAGGTCCAGCCTGGCCCACACTGTGTTGTATACCCAGCTGTATTACAGCGTTATGACATTACTGTAATTGATGTTTACATACCTTTTATTACATGGTTAGCTTCTTGAGGCCACGACTTTAATTGGATTTCTCTTTGTAGTCCTAGAACTTAATATCATACTTGACACACAGTAGATACCCTGCAAATGTTTAATAAATGTCAGAGTTGAATTTAAGTCTTTGACAAGTCAAAAGAGCTCATTCAAACCACAAAACCTGTCTCCAATTTGCCCCTTATTCTCTCTGGTCTCCATTTCCATAATTACTTTTTTTTAAGATTTTACTTATTCATTTTCAGAGAGAGGTGAAGAGGAGACAGAGAGGAGAGAAACATCAATGTGTGGTTGCCTCTCATGCAACCCATACTGGGGACTGGGCCTGCAACCCAGGCATGTGCCCTGAGAATTGAACTGGCGACACTTCCACAGTTTCAAATTGCATGTGTAATACTAGATTTTTTTCCTATAGTCCCTTTTTGTTCATCTATAATCTCTTTACATACCAATTCAAATTAAATATTATAAACTAATCACTAATCATAGATCATGTATTTACCATATTTTCAATACCAACATATTGCCTTTCAGTTTATTTTAAAAATATCATGATGTCAAAGATTTTGAAAATAACTCATAGGTAAGTCAATCTTTAATCTTCAAAAGTGTTCAGTGGTGCTCTGGCTGGTGTGGCTCAGTGGATTGAGCACTGGCCTGAGAACCAAAAGGTTGCTGGTTCAGTTCCCCGCCAGGCCACACGCCTGGGTTGTGGGCCAGGTCAGGCCCCCTGTTGAGGGTCTGCAAGAGGCAATCATTTGATATTTCTCTCACACATTGATATTTCTTTCCTTCACTTTCTCCCTCCTCTCCTCTCGAAAAAATTTTAATTTTTAAAAATAAATAAAATCTTTAAAAAAGTGTTTAAATTCCTTTAAGGGGGAAGGGGGGAGGGATTTGGGGGAAGAAGTGTAAGGGATGCAGGGATGAGGGCTGTGGGGTGGGGAGGGGGGAGAGGTGGGGAGCGTGGGACGGGGGTGGGCTTGGATGGGAGAAATAGACAAAAAACTGTACTTGAAAAATAACTAAATTTAAAAAATTAATTAATTAAAAAATTTTAAAAAATAAAAGAGAGGATAATAACCATGGAGGGGGGAAAAAGTGTTTAAAAAATAACAAAATTTTCAGTGGTAAAAAGACCACAAGAAAAACACTTAAAGCAAAAGGTATTTGTTTCTGAAATCCTTGTTCTCTTAAAATCTAGACCTTAAGTCTAGTCAGTTTTCTCATGAATATTTTTGTCTCTTGGACTAAATTAAATAAGCAAACTAATTACAATGCTATGCAATAGTGAAGATACCTAAAAATATTGGTTATTAGAAATTATTAGGGAATTATCAGCTATCCTCATCTTTCTATAAAATGCCACCATATATATGTACATACACAATGTTTTGTTCCAACAGATCTTTGTTTTTTCACATCTACTTGTTCCCAAAAGTTGAGTCAATCACAAACATAAGGTCTAGCTATGCTAAGACTGGATCAGCCTTATGTCCTAAAAAAGTCTGTCATACTCACATGCAGCACTCATTTCTGCATGAACCATAATCTTCATAGCAACGCCAGGCCTTTGATAATGGGATTGTAATGACTTTGCTAGTGACATTTTAATGGCGGTCATGAATGACAATGTTAGTATTTTTTTTTAAAGAAACCTCTTACCACTGCTTTGGTTGCTAAGCTGCTTTAGTTCCTCTCTCTTTGGGAGTCTGAATAGCGGTGTGGTAATTTGTTTGGGCAGCAGGAAGGCTGCCAGTTTACATTAGCTAAAGCGTTCTGTTGTCAAAAGAACCCACCTGTCCGCTTCTATGCACATGAGTAACTCTAACCCTCCTTCACTGCCCTTTCCATCACTAGCATACATTTTCCCTCTTCTGATAGCACTAGTTTACGTTTTTGCTCTCTTTTAAGGGTTAGAATCCAACAGACTCAGTACATCTTACTGCGACTGATAAAAATTTTTTTTTAAGCAAACTTTTTGTTTAGATTTTATTTATTTATCTTTAGAGGTGAAGGGGGGAAGGAGAGAGGGAGAGAAACATCAATGTATGGTTGCTTTTCGTGTGTCCCCTGCTGAGAACTGGCCTGCAGGGAACCCGCCTGCAACCCAGGCATGTGCCCTGACTGGGAATGGAACCGCGATTGTGTGGTTCGCAGGCCTGTGCTCAATCCACTGAGCTACACCAGCCAGGGCCACGACTGGTAAAATTATTATCTAAATAAGCAGCATTCTGCATATAATAAATAATAAATTAATTTTCACAACCCTGGTGGATGGTCTATAGCAGCAGTATATGCTTGATTGGGCTGACCTTGGACAAATGATTTAATTATTTTCAGCCTTGGTAAAGTAATGGTTTTTCTTGGAAAAATCCCCCAAACAACCTGGAGGTTATATTAGACATGACTTTCCCTTACAATAGATGGAACTGAGTTTATATCAAGGAAACAGAAAGGAATAAGGATTAGAAAACACAAGAATTCTGAACATAGATTTTGAAAAAAACTTAATACAGCTTTAGATTATTTCCTAGATTAACTGTAAAACTCTTATTGCCTTTTTGTTTTGACAGTTAAAAATTATGAACATGATTAGTTTGTCTATTACTGGAATAATTTATTTGACTTAATACTTGTACATGGTGCTAATATAATGAATATGAAACATCAATGAGCACCTAGATTATGTATCTCTTGGGACCTCCCTCATTCCAAGAGGGGGTATGTGTATGTGTGCTCTTATCCAAAGAAAAATATCACGTAACCATCATGACATCATATAAACATGTTCAAGAGAATACAGAAAATGTTACCCATTAACTTCCTCAATAGTAACTCTTAGAAGTAACCACCTATAGAATATGTAATAATGGCAGGGAATTATGTGATTTATTCGGTTAAGAACACTGCATTTTGGAGTCACAAAGAACTAGGCTTGAGTCTGAAGTTTTTGCTATGGCCTTGGGCAAGCTCCCTAATAGTCACGGACAGTTGCTTCATCTGTAAAATGAGATAATACTACCTCATAAGGTTGGAGCAAGGACAAAACAAAATACATATAAAACCAAAGTGCTTACTTAACATACAGAAAAAAGCTGAATAGTCATTGGCTGTCATTGTACTTTTCCAAGATACATATATGGTTATATGTTTTATGTACCTAGCCTGACAGACTGCTTAAATCTTCACTTTGGTACTAGAAAAAAGGAGGTCCTAATGGAAACTTACTTTATCTGTTTATAAACATAAATGATCTATGGACAAAAATTCTTATTTTAAGGATTTTCTTTGTATTTGTCACAAAGATTATCAACGCTTTTACACAAGAGCATAGGTATACATGTTTTATTAGACTATTTAATGTTTACACACAATACATAAATTTTTTGGAACCTCAAATTTCTTTGATAGTTGCAATATTATTTCCGAATGGGCGTGGCAGAAGCTTAAATATTACATCATTCCGATGATTTTTAAAGAGATAAACCTCTAAGCGATCACCCCTACGTAACTGTCCATTAAGTAAGTTATCTGTGACAGAACTGGGTTCCCGGCAGTTTCAGCATATGGATGGCTCCTCCACTGCCTGGGCGCCCTCCGTGACAGCTTTGACACATTTGGCCATTGTCTGTGAGGCTCTGCTGATCGAATCTGAAAGGGATTAAGGAAAGGTGCATTTAGAGAACACAACTTTAAAAAAACAGAGTTGCCCTGGCTGGTGTGGCTCTGTGGTTGAGTGCCGGCCTGCGAATCAATGGGTTGCTGGTTCGATCCCCAGTCTAGGGCACATGCTTAGGTTGTGGGCTGGGTCCCTGGCGGGGTGGGGCGGGGGGGCCACACAGGAGACAACCAAACATTGATGTTTCTCTCCTTCTCTTTCTCCTTCCCTTCCCCTCTCTAAAAAGGTGGATAAATAAAATCTTTTCTTAAACATTTTTTGAAGATTGTATTTATTTATCTTTAGAGGGGAAGGAAAGGAGAGAAGGAGAGAAATATCAACGTATGGTTGCCCCTTGTGCGTCCACTGCTGGGGACTGGCCTGCAACCTAGGCATGTGCCCTGACTGAGAATCAAACTGCGATCCTTCGGTTCACAGGCCTGCGCTTAATCCACTGACCTACACCAGCCAGGGCAGATAAATAAAATCTTAAAAAAAAAAAACAAAAAAAACCCCCACAACCCACATAGTAAAACGTTCTTGTTTCACATACACAGGAACAAAAAAAAAGCTATATAAAACTATGCAACTGTATGTAAATTTTTGAGATCAACCAACAAATTCAGAAGATTAGCCCCTTATTGGCTAAATGCTTTTAATAAGCACTCCTAGGTATTAGTAAATAATCATACACAAACTATGCCAGTGTGCAGGCAGGAAACACATTATAGAAAAGTATTAAAGACAAGAAAAGTATGAAAGTATGTAAAATACTGTTATGGAAAAAATGGTCACAAAACAACACGTACTAAAATCCACTAAATTCTACACTTCATGGGTGAATTTTACGGTGGTATGAATTACATTTCAAATAGCTATCAAAAAACCCATAGTAACTGAATAATCTGTTTTTGTTAAAATAAACAATTTATGTATATATTCCTCAGTGATTGACCAAAATGTTAAAAAAATAAATATAGTTATTTCTGGATAGTGAGATTACAGAGTTTCAGTTAGTCTGCATTCCTTAAAAACATTCCTAACAATTTATATCAGAAGCAGCATTTAACATATTTTACCACTGAAGTATTTTGATTCTTCCACTGTAATTCTCAGGAAAACCTTACCAGAAAAATTCTCCCTAAATTGCTACACAATGATTTTACATACAATAGTAAAATTTTACACTTAAAATCTGTTAATTTTTCTTGAATTTTCAAACTCTGCTTATATTTCAGAAAAAAATTATAGTAAAATGAGGCAATATGAATTATGTTAGTTCTTCAAAGACTAAAAATATCAAATACTACCACTAACAGAGTGGAATCCTAATGCTAAATGAGGCGACCTCATTCCCCACCACCTCCCGCACTTGGCAGTCATGCTGACAACTGCGTACCTGTCATATAGAAGTCTTTTATTGTCAGTTGAGGGGGCACAAGAGGATCAGCAAGAAGTTGCTGGTTCACTAGCTGCAAAAAAGGAATAAGAGAGCAGTAATAGTATTAGAAACTACTTTTGTTACACTGAACGGTACACTACTATGAAAGCTGCATATGGATCAGTTTTTACCTTGGAGAGCTCGCTTGCTTGCTGGAAATAATTAGCTCCTTCAATGTCATCGTATCGAACGAGATTAGGAGAGACTTCTTCCAATCTGTTCCTTACTTGATCCAGAGTATCGTATGGAAGAGTTATACCTGCAATCTATACCATATCAGGGCCCAAAGATTTATATAAAGCTTCAATATTTAAAATTTTCAATAAGACAAGGGTGGGCAAAATTATGTTGATGGTTGATATGGAAAATAACTCAATAATAATAATAATACCAGTATAAACTCTGTTCCACATATTGACAACTATAAACCTACTTTGCTCATCCCTGTCTGCACCTGCAGTATGGAGAAGGAATGCGGTACTACTGAAAATCTACTGGTGTCCATTAGTGTGCATATTAAGCACGTAGTTAACTAGGGAAAACGACTGTCAAAAATTCCACTAATTCATGCACAGCTGCCAGTACATTAGTAATCTTTAGAAAACAGACTGATTATAAAGTAAATGATTCAAGAGATAATGCTATTCTAAATATGAATGCTTCTACTAACATGTTATTGATCATATGAAGGGTGATCACCCCAAAAAGCAGGAATTTATTTATGAAAATTTGAGTATTTATTACATGTTTAAACTTTAATCACCTTCAAAGTACTCTTCATTTGATGCAATACAGCCATTGAGACATTTTCCCACTGCTCAAAACAGTTTTTAAAGTCACTGATAGGCCTTTTAGTGCTTCTGCCATTTTTTGTTTCACCTCTTCCACATTGGCAAAATGTTTCCCTTTGAGGACTTTTTTCATCCCGGGAAACAAACGAATGAACGAAAAAGTTGCCTGGGGCACGATCTGATGAATAGGGAGGGTGGGACACAGGGGTCATGCTGTTTTGGGTCAAACACTGCTAAACACTCAGCATGGTATGTCAGGTGCACTTGTAAATCACCCATTATGAAATGGGCAAATAC